AATAAAATAAATATGGGACTAAGAAACTCCAGATAGCTTATGACTGAATAAGCAAAGGATGATATAACTTGTTTAAAGTTAGCTTTACAAAAGGGAAGTTGAAGTACAAGTGAGGGATGATGTTAAAGTCTGTTATTTTAGAATATGGTTGCTAAAGGTTTATACCCTGTATTTGCTCTGGGAGGTTGGGGGGGAGGTGGGTTCAGGTGGGTGAGGGGAGGTATATATTTGTAAAACTTTTTTAAAACTTTTAATAAAATAAAAAAAATTGTTAAGATTCAGAGACTTAATTAACAGACAGGGAAATTTAAAAACAATAGAAGAATTGGCAGAACAAAACATGAAAGTTGACTTGCAAATCAAAACTAAACACAATAATAATACTAAATTATACGGCATCGAAATGGAACCACACGAATTTAGATAAAATAATCCAGTGTTCAGAAAGGAGGATGATAGGGAGAATATATAAATTTCTTCTGAAGTATAAAATGGAAGAAGAAATCGCGAAAGAACAAATGGTAAAATGGGCACAGAACTTTGGCTACAATATTGAATTAGATAAATGGGAAAAATTTGAGGGGAACAAATTTAAAAATGACACTATTGGTTGCATACAAGGAAAACAAGTACAAAATGTTTTACAGAGGGCACCTAGCACCAGCAAGGTTAGCAAAAATCTCAGTAAATATTTAACCAAAATGTTGGAAATGTGAATTAACACACAAAACATATTATCATGTATGGTGGACGAGTGAGGAGGCTAAAAAGTATTGGAAAAGGATTAAAAATTGACTAGAATCAATAACAGGAGTCAAAATTGATTGGAAACCAGAAGTTTTTTGACTAGGAATAATGACAGCGAAATATAAAAAAGAAATCCAGTATTTAATTTTACACATAATTACGGTGGCGAGAATTGCCTTCGCTCAGAAATGGAAAAATAAATTGATACCAAGCAAAGATGAAATAATAAGAAAGGTTATGGACTGTGCTGAATTGGACAAATTAACAAAAGAAATCCAGGGAAAAGAAAAAACAGAATATTATCAGATATGGGAAAAATGGCATAGGTGGATATATATATATATATATATATATATATATATATTTATATATATATTATAGATAATCACCTAATTAGCAGATAGATGAGTAAAATAAGAAGGTTAAATATGGTGAAACGCAAATGAATTGTATTAGAAGAAGAAATAACATGAGAATTGTATCAATTTGAAATTGCTATTAGAAAGAACAGGAAGTTCCTGTTTGTACTGTATTGTGTAAATGTAGTGTACATCTAAGTTCTGTGTTTGTTTGTAAATAAAAATAAAAATATATATAAAAAAATAAATAAAACTCCAGGATAAGAAAGATCATGTGGACCTATGATCTTTTAAATTTAATATTAACTTATCCATGACTCCTTAAATAACAGATAGTATTTGACCACAATTTGAATCATAGTAATCCATAGTGAGTTGGGGTATAAACATGATTTTCTCCAATTGACATTTATTGTTGGAAACTGATTGGAAAAGTTGCAGATTGCAATCATGTGACCTCAAGAAGAAGCAGCCGGTCATAAATGTGAGCCAGCTGCCAAATTCCCAAATTGCAACCATGAGACTGTAGGTGTGTTTGTGTACAACAGTCATAAGTACAGGGGCTGGTTGTAAATGACTTTTTTCAAGGTTATTGTAAATTGGTACCATCATTAACAAATTCTTGTATAGTGAGGAAAAGGAAAGGAAAAGAGTATAGCTCAGTGTGTAAATATTCACTTATGTGAATATAAGCTTATGTTATTATTTGACTGCAGAATATTTTATGAAAATTAAATTACATATTAAATTCAGAAAGAGGTGCAATGATTCAGTGGTTAAAGACACTGCCACTTGTCAGTTGGAGAGCAGGCAGCCAGGTATGAGACCCAAGATTTGTGCAATGGGGTGAACTCCTATTACTTGTCCCAGTTCCTGCCCATCTAGCAGTTCAAAAGCATGCAAATGCAAATAATTTAAATTACCACTTATTGGGAAGGTGGGAAGTTAACAGCATATCATGGACCTTTGGCATATAGCTGCCACATGACCATGGAAATTGTCTTTGGACAATGCTGGCTCCCTCAGGCAAGAAATGGAGATGAGCATCGTGCCCTAGAATTGGACACGACAAAGAAACCTTTACCAGAAGTTCAGAAGAAAAGCTTGTACAAAAGGTACCAGATGTTTACTACATGGAAGGTAAATTGCTTCACATTCTAGAAACATCTCTTACTATGTGAGAGTATAGCATGCCTCACTTTTATTTTACATGCAAATTCAAGTATTTCAATTGTTACATTAGGAAATAATCTAATTAGGATTATTCGAGGAGGTGTAAGGCAAAGAAGGAAATGATGAGTCAGGTTGAAAAATGGCAACTACAACAAAGCTGGAATATTTTGGAGGCCACATATAGAATGCTGCAGGGTTGCATGTAGCTGACATGACAACCAATATTCCTAAATTGGTTGATGGGACAGGTGGAAATTTTGGCATAATCATAATCCAAAATGTGCTCCATTGTGTCATTTCTCCATTCAACTGGGCTTCCTTTGAATCAGATCAAAATATCTTAGTCTTTTAAATTTGTATCTACATTTTATCCATGTGTATTTGTGTCATGCCACCCAGAGTCACTTGGTTGAGTTGAGTGGCATACAAGTCAAACAAACAAATAAAATGAATGAACAAACAAACAAACAAATACATGTGTATCATTTCTGGTTTTGATGGCTTTAACTAAACTATTTCAGTATATGATTATACTCTTGCTAGTGTTTGTTATACAGTTCTCCGTCTCATGTGCTTGTCTGACATTGAATAAAGAACAGCAGGTAAGATATTTCTTATGATATCTTTATTTAAAATATATTATTATTATTATTATGCAGGTAATCTACAAATTAGATCCACAATAAAAGATTAGTGAAAATTTAATAATTCATGTCCTAACCTAGGACCTAAAATTATTAAAGTATGTATACAAGCAATCCGAAAATGGATTTTATTTATTTATTTGTAAAATTAGGGTATAAAATGACAAAGAGTTGCAGCATTATTATTATTATTATTATTATTATTATTATTATTATTATTATTATTATTATTATTATTATTATTATTATTATTATTATTAAACAGCCATTATGTTTATCAGAAGGATCATAAAGAAGATATTCATAGTCAAAGTTGTGGTGGGCCCACTGAAGAGCATTTGTTTGTTAATTAGAAAAGGTAACAATTACAAAATGTAGTATTCTCCCAGTAGATGGAGAAAAGAGAACAGCTAAGCCTCAGTTGAAAAGAAGGTAGAGGATAGGTCTATATTTCATTAGGTTAAGATAATTGTTCGTGAACACTTATCCAGCAATCTTAACTCCAGTTCCTTGTTCAAGATACTCAGGTCCCAAAGCATTTCAAATTAAACAAGGGTAGGAAGAATTTACTCTAAAAAAAGGCCAAAGACTTTAAAAACTCTCACTGTGTGTGTGTGTGTGTGTGTGTGTGTGTAGATAGATAGATAGATAGATAGATAGATAGATAGATAGATAGATAGATAGATAGATAGATAGATANATAGATAGATAGATAGATAGATAGATAGATAGATAGATAGATAGATAGATAGATAGATAGATAGATAGATAGATAGATAGGTACGTATGTATGTACGTACGTACGTACATACGTACGTACATACATACATGACAGAACTTGTAACAACTCAAGACATTCTAGAATAGAATGGCTGGCTGGAAAAAAATCTATAGCAATACTGCTATAAAAATTCATGATACATTTTATGGGTTGGATCCATTGAAGCTGGTTGTCGACAGTCATGGTTGGAATCTAGAATCTAGCAGTGTACTGCTGATCAAATTGGTGTTAACACATTCTTTTCTTCTTAATTTTTTTTCCTGATTAAAAAATATATGAAGAAATGAGAAGGTTGGCTCTGGAATTGATCCCATCTTTTATAAATACTGTAACATTAAGTACTACTACTGTTAATCCATTTTGTGAAACCTTGGTTGTTCCAGTTAGCCAAAAATAAAACAAAAGGAATCGAACAAATTAACAAAATAGAGAAACCCAATTATCTGTTGCCTGAAGTCTTTCACCTTGATTTTATAGAAATATCAGTTACATAGATACTACAAATAACTTTAATTTAGCTGCAGGTTACACAGACTTTTGAATATCATCTTTTAACACATTTAAGGTAATCCCAGTCTCTTCACATCCATAGTTTATGACTGGGTGTAAACTAGCATGCTGGCTAAGGAATTAAGAGGTCCATATTACCCCTTAAAGTTGCCAAATTTTAAAAACCCTGTTTTAAAATAAGGCTATGAGAAAACAGAAACCAAAATACAGACATTTCCCCTCATTTCCCTTTATATGGAAAGAAATGAAGCAGCAGCAATGTAAGCATTTTTTTTGAGCAAGTAAAAATTGGAGAGAGAGAAATTGTAGAATGCATTTAAGATACAAAAAATATGAGCAAAAACTGAATTTTTTATATTAAAAAATACTGATACTATCCACTAATGGCAAACAAATCTAAGACAGTGAAAGCTTTAAAACTAAGCAAAATAAGGAAATGAAATGAATATTTAAAATACTGGGAAATAATTCTGTTTGCATTGGTGATTCAGATATAATTAGCAAACCAGAGTCTTTATGCAGACATTTATATTAAACTAATAGCAAAGTTCGGTTTTTGACTATTACATAATTTCCTTGTGTTTATAGAGCAAACTTCTAGAGGTTGGGTGGAACAACACAAACAATGCAAGGCAGGATATTCAGCGGAATCTAAAATGTTGTGGCTTCCATAATGTCAGTGATGATACATCTTGTTCTGCTGTAAGTTGACCTTTCTTACGTTGTGTTTTAGGAAACCTTTGAAACCATATATTTACTTTGCTTGTCTATGTAATGTTTTATCTTTGAAATTCATAATCCATTTATTGCATTTGATTACTATATACAGTTATGGTAGAAGTTTTGGAGAAAGAACATTAATTTGAAAAGTTGCATCCAAATCTTCTTATTTCAAGATCTGTCCAAGAAACAGAATTCATGAGCACTGTGGCAATCCTGGACTTGATATAGCTTATTGGTATAGCTCATTTCATTTTCAGTTCAGTTCAGTTTATTAAATTTATATGCCGCCCTTTCCCCCCGAAGGGGACTCAGGGCGGCTCACAACTCGAACCGGGGAGGGGGATACAGACAAAAGATTTAAAACAACAACATAACAATATATAATTTAAAACTCACAACAGTCATACCATTCGAGACGGGGGCAACAGCTCCACGGGGAGTTCGTTCCAGAGGGTCGGAGCAGCCACAGAGAAGGCTCTCCTCCAGGTAGTCGCCAGTCGACACTGGCCGGTGGATGGGATTCGGAGGGGGCCTAATCTGTGGGATCTAATCGGTCTAGTGGAGGTAATTGGCAGCAGGCGGTCTCTCAAGTACCCAGGTCCAATACCATGAAGGGTATTTGTACAGCAGAGATCACATCCCTAGTAATTTTTTACATGTTGGTACAGTGACAATGTGGTTGGATAATGTTAATTCATTCCTTGCCATGGTTCTGGAGTTGTAGTTTGAACTTTGCAGGGATCTGGCTTATCTCAGGCAATTTATAAAAGCAATGGGTTTTCAGAGGGAGTGAAGTTATTCTTAAATCTCTGTGGCCAGTTCAATTAAGATCTTAGTGGATTCCACCAATGTGAACTTTGTGGTTGTGAATCTTGTGGAGCCTCCTGGTTCATACATGAGCTCTGGAAGATGAAACAACATAAAGAGATACCTAGAATGTTGCTAAGACAAAATGTTAATAAGACAAAAAGCAAATCTGACAGATCACAAATGAAATTATGTATTAGACTTATTTTGTTACAATAAGATGTTGAAGTGAGGTACCTAGACAATGTTGGCATACAATTTGGAATTTGCACCTGTTTCTTAACTGGGAGGCCCTGCTGAACGTATTCATGTCTTAGACACCCCTAATTCAACTACTGCTACATGGCCCTACCCTTGACGACTACTTAGACATTTCAACTGGTTCAGAATGCAGTCTGTTCATAATTCTGAATGCTCTGACATTTGCCTATGTTATAGGCATTGTGATGCTGCACTGACAGTTCCCTCTCAGATGTTATTCAAAGGCTTAAAGCATTTCATGGCACAGGTCAGCTTATTTTCAAGACTGTCTTTTGACAAGGGTGTCTACCAATCCATCCAATCTGATGGATAAATAGAAGACACCCCCCCCCCCCTATCAACTATGTCTTTTTGCATGACCTTGGGGAAATTCTTTATCTGTTGAGATACCTGCTTTACAGAACAGGCTCTCCCTTGTGATCTAGATGGCTCCTTTTCTCTTGACTCTTCTAGACTATGAGCCAGGATGTAACATGATACCAAACTATTAGTACAAGGTTTTTTTATGTCACCTGGTTAAGCTGTGATGGTCTTTAATTTTGTAGGGGGGAGTTTTAGTAATATGTTGGTTTCATTATTGTTAATTGCCCAGTGTTATATTATGTAGAGGAGGGCTACATTTATCTGAAATACTATACGTACGTACATACATACATACATACGACATTATGATCGCCAGAACTTTTAAAATATATTGCTCACTGAGCTTTCATTAGCTAGTTCCAGATATCATAATGTCTGCTTCTTTTATAATTATACCTGGAACTCGCATTTTTAGGACAATTCACAATATATATCTATATCTGTATGTAGCTATAGATAACATCCTAATAATGAATTGAAATAACAATTGTTTGCAGGAATGTTTTGAAACACAGACCTGTAAACCCTGTGCACCTATAATTAAGGAATATTCTGAAATGGTCTTAAGATTTGTAGGAGGCATTGGTCTCTTCTTTAGTTTCACAGAGGTAAGTGCAAAATTAGCCTAAACATTTTTGAATGTTTGTGTAATTTGGAGAACTTTCCAATATTTTTTTCTATAAAGGTATTATAGTTAATATGGAGAAGCACTGTTCTCTTCTATAAAAGTAAAAATATTTTTATTTCTTAGCAACATAATATACACATTATCTCAGGTAAAGTAAAAATCCTATGCAGTTACTTAAAGGAGTGACTATCTTGAATTAACTTTATTATTTTTATACATGTCACATATACTGTAGCATTGTCAGTTATAGTTTATTCCTGGTAATTACATGAATAGTCCATGTATTGGTGAAATAAAATACATAAATATATGTACACATAGAAAGATATAGTATAATAAATATATAGTTTTATTCTATGTATAAAATGATATTCCAAGCTCAGGAATATCAGGAAAAGTAAACATTCAATTTCATAGGTTATTCTAAAGTTAAAAATTGGTATATTATTTATTCATAGATATCATTCCTTCGTATAGGAATATATAATCAGTCAGAAGAATTTGGTATAGAGAACATTTATAAACAAAGTGATGGAGTGCTGAAAGATATTGCAATATATTATGAAATTTTAGCATATGCTTTCTTTCTTTTATTCCTTCAGATCTTAGGAGTGTGGCTCACTTACAGATACCGGAATCAGAAAGATCCACGTGCAAATCCTAGTGCATTTCTTTGACCTGGAAATGTTTTCTGGGGCTAAACATTTTTTCGACTGTGGTTTTAAAAAGCTGAATTCTCCACTGATCTGTCTACTCTCCATGTTAATTGGGGACATCTGCTTTTGAGATAAGAATACAGACCTAGAACTGCTTTTCATCCTGTTTTCTAGTGTTCTTTGAAGGAACTAGTCTGAAGTGCTTGCTGTCAATTGTATAACTAAATAGAATATGAATTCTGTAGGAATGTAGTGACCCAGTAGAATTATTCATGTTATTCTTCTCTCAATGGGTTGGTGTTACTTTTAATTTAAAGAAGGATTTATTTGGTCTTATAATGTATTCCATTTGTCAGAATTTTTTTCATTGATCTATTTTTTCCTCTTTTTTTGAAAAACTAATTTATTGGCTTCAGTGCATTTCATTTGAAATATGTTAAAGAAATTGTGCTTTTGTTTCTGATACTGGTATTAGTTCAGAAGAAATCCCCTCAAATAATCACTGGACAATTGAAAACTCATCATTTTTAATGATTGGGGTTATACCTTATCAACTCCTCTCCATTTTTTGGATTTGTTTTAAGATATACATGCAAATTAATTTCAGTATTGGCTATATAAATAGTGATTCTGTTTCATCCCAAGAACAGATTATGTCTAAATCTCTTGATTTACCTCAGCTCTAAAAGACATAAAATCATTTGACAGGCATGGTTGGATATTGTCCAACATTATGATTTTCAGAAGGTTAAATATCAGGGTTTTTTTGTGCCCAGTATATGATCATAGTAAGAAAGAAAGATAAATTTTCACAGTATACTAAAATTATGCAAGTTGTGTAACTTAAAATGATAAATGGGGAAGCATAGTGTGTAGTTGGCTTGTCATGGTAAGACATTTGATGCCAGGAGGTTTTTGGGAAGGGGCAATTTCTTCTTATCAGTGTAATACATTAAGTGTGGTACTGATATGGGTCTTACATTTAACTGTTTGTTCATTGATATCTAAAATGTCTGACCATAAATGTGTACTAGACTTATAAATGATATCTTTGTAGTTCTTCTCTTTTTTTAAATAAAACTTTTAAATAATTACATTTAAAATTCAGTTCTTATCATATAACTTAGCCCTTGTTGAACTGCCAAAGCATTTGTAGTTTTTTAAATTAACATTATATAGATGCAAATTGTTCAAGCATATTAAATATATTAATTTTAAAAGGATAATTGGAGAAAGCCTATAGAGAGCAGAAAGCTTAAAAGAAATGTAAGCAGTAATGACATGAATGACATGATGATGGGAAAAACAGATTGCCAAGAAGATGCAGTTCTGGAAATGAAGGATACTGTTGGAAAACAGTTACTGCTCTTCAAGAGGACTATTAGACTTGAATTTCAGAAATCCAGATGGCCATTAGAGAGCAGTCAAGTATTAAGTTTTGTCTTGTCCTTTTAGAACAATCTTTGAATTATCTGATTCTTGTAGCCATAATATGAAGTTTTTATTATCTCTGGGGAGTTGGAAATGAATGAAATGAATTGAAAATATCTGAAAGCCTACATATTGGAATAGAGTATCACAAGACTTCATTGAAAGATTAAACTTTCCATGAAGTAGTATGGACAAATCATTGGAACTCAGCTCTATGGATGCAGATCTTAAGCTACAGTTCAATACCCATTCATGAGCTGGGAGTAAGCTTTATTTCCATGGAGCTGATAGTTGAGGAGCATAAGAATATCAATCCACAATTTAGCTACTATGTACTATAAAGTACATATACTTTAAAATTCAGTAAGAAGACTTTGTTATGTTTCATGTTGTTGTTCTTCTGGAATTTCCTGAAGTCCTGAAGTCCTAAATACAGTTTGTCCTTGAATAAGGAATCACACAAAAATTAGTTATATTTAAAACATATCTCCTGTGATCCTGATTTTGATACAAGTTGCTCTTTTATTCTTCCTGTTCCTTGCCTTTTCTCTTTACAAGTGATGACATTCACATTCTTCTTGATTGCAGTTCTCTATCAAAGAGGACTATGAGTAAGGATGTTTGTGATTATTCACTAGATTGATATGATTTATATGGATACCCTTTTCAACATAGTGAGTGTGGGCAGCTGACAGTATATAAAATGTGCCAAGAATGTAACAAAAAAGCAAAACTTGTAATTTAAATATCTGTAGATAAGAAAAAACAAATACATTTTAATATAATAATTAAATGTACATAAACGGTACAATCCAACTGAGGCTTCTAAAAGACCATCTGGAAAAATAGAATAAAATACTTTATTTGGCCAAGAGTGATTAGACACACAAAGAATCTGTCTCTGATGAGAAACTCTCAGTGTACATGCAAAGTAACAGAATCATCATCATATCACCCTAATAAAGGAGTGGTAAATAAGATAATAGGGATAATAATAATACCACTACAGCCTCTGAAGAGATTTTCTCAGTCTTCCTGATCCTTGCAATATACAGATTGTCTATGGAAAGCAGACTAGTTGTAATTGTAGTTGAATAAGAGGTGGTAAAATAGAAAGGCTTCTCCTAAAATCCATTCCCATCTCTAAACATGTTGAGCTCCAGATTGTTCTGGTTGCAACATTATATGCAGACGCATCACTATCTCAAATGAGACCAATGGCTGTTGTATCTGTAAACTTCAGTACTTTAACAGATGCATTCCTAGAAATGCAGTCATTAGTATAGAGAGACGAGGGAAAGAAAAAGAAAAAAACAAAAAACCCCATACTAACTGAACACAACAGGCTCAACTAACAAATGCTTGAGGAAAGAAACATTTCAAAGATCCTACAGAAAACTAAACAGGTGGGCTATCTGAATCAGGGAGCAGCGAGCGATGTTGTTTCAGAGATACTAACATGCAAGAAAAGATAGGTGACCTGGATCCCACTAGATGGCTGCTTTTTCAGTGCTTTCACTGGTACACCATTGCCATATAATTGAACCATCTACCTTGTTGCTGTTTCCTATCACTTTCCACAGCGTAATAGATTTCTCCAGAAAGCTAGACCTTATCATATGTCTAAAGTAGGACAATTTGAACCTGTCTCAAGTGAAAATTCTGGATTTATTTCTTCAGTGATCAATTTGCTTATTTAGCTATCATGTTACTTTAAAATCTTCTGCAATACCAAGATTCAAAAGTATCAGTACTATTTCTATTCCTATATTGTTGGACCTGATGAAATATTGCCTTCAAAGGTTGTGGGTGTTCCATCACTGGAAATTTTAAAAGAGATTGGACAACAATTTGAAATGGTATAGGTTTTCATGGTTGAGAGGGTGTTGGATTAGAAGATCTCCAAGATTCCCGCCAACTCTGTTCTGTTCTATTCTGTTCTGTCCTGTCCCATCCTGTCCTGGTGAGACAAACAGAATAACTAGGAAAAGCTAATCGCACAAAATACCTGGGCCTATGTCATTTAGGACTTGAAAATGATAACCACTATTTGAATCACACCCAGACATCTATTGGGAGTCAATGTAGCTTGTGAAGCAATTGCGTTTTATTGCCATGTGAGGCAGGGTAAATAATAAACCACAAATATTCATGGGTTGGTTATCTTCTTTTGGAATGGCAGAAGCCTTAGTAACAATTGGCCTACTAGCATTTTCCATTTGTTTGGAAGCATAAAACCCTGATTTTGATTCAGAAGTGACATGAAAGCTGTCAAAGTGTGAGTCTCCTCACCTATTTGTGTTCCCAATTTTCTTTCAGGGAATGAAACAACAAAGGAGTAATAGAAATGGAACTGCAGGAGAGGTTCCATTTTGTATTATTTTCCTAGAGAACTAATGTTTTTTTATTCATTTTCAATATTCCAGAGCCAATATTTACTAATCATGATGAATAGTTATAATTGGGAGTCCTAGAAAGAGGCCTGGGAGCCTAAAGTGTTCTTCTTCTGTTTAGCATAATGTGCCACACAACTGTGAGCTACTGTCATATATTGTATTTCAGAATATGTTATAGTTTATATTGTTAAATAAACTAGTATGTTTTATGTGTTATTCAGCATGCTGAGCTAAAATATATATAAACTTTTTATGTACATAAAAAGTTTTTTTTCTGTATTTCTGGCAAACTGACTTTGCCAGTAAACTGATCAATTTCATTTGTGCATTAATTGGAAGATTGCTATTCTGCCTGGATCCAATGATTGTGGAAAGGGAATTAACAGCATTAATACTTAAACACATTAGGCTAATATTTAATAGATGACCATGCTTCAGTTACAGGGTTTTTTGCTTATACATTTCAATGTGTAATATAAATAGCAAGTCAGCCATTAACTATTCAAAAGATTTTAGGTAAATTGAGACTGAAGCATTCAGGCAATGGCTTCACAGATGGATGGAAAATACCTGTTTCACTTCACTTAGTTATTTAAATTCATGTGTCTATTCCTCATAATAGAAATGGTTTGCAAAAGCCAGTCAAAGCACAATTTTTGGTACATTGCATTGATAGGTATTGAATTTCATATTTTCAGATAAAAACCTTTCTCACCCAGACTGAGGACACCTACAATGATTCAAGTACACTTTGGCATTTATAATTTTATACATTTTCTGATTTTCATACTCATGTCTTTCAGATATTTTATCTGTGCATTGCTTTTGTCTAAGAAACTGACAGGTGGATGTTTAAAAAATGACAGGAAGACTCTTTTTTGGTAAAGATGTAATGTCGATTTATTTTTAAATCATGATTTAGCATACATTAGTATTATTTTATAAAAGCAATCAATACAATGTCATAACATTACAAATTAATATTTATAGCATAGTTTTGATATTAAAAAGTAGCATGTTAGAAAACTATACCCTATGCAAATCCAAAGTCCAGGCTGCTTTCATTTGGGAGAGAAAACTAAGCATATTTGGACTGTCGGGTGCAGAAGATCTGAGATTAGGTCATTTTTCTTTCTTCACAATTCTGTCTTTAGCAGATTCAGAGCTTTCTGCATATTTGAATACACTAGGAATAAATAAACTTGGAGTCATTATTTTTTTAAGAAAACAATACATCATGTGCTGTTAAACAATTTTATATATACCAGTTTGAATTGTTTGAATTAAACAAGCTGCAAAAATAAAAACCACACATGACCATTCACAGCATGTTTATGGTAGAAAATCAGATTCATAACTTGCTTAAATTGGATTGTATTAATTCTGATGAGCTACTCTTAGTTTTTCTCAAATACAAATGCTTTATCTAGGAATGATTTGTGACTTTTTTAGTAATTTGTGCACTGTGTTGGTAAGATAAAAAAAAAGGTAGTTCAGAGATTCCCTAAAGTCCAGCACACTTCATGGGCAATTGGGCATCTTTATTTATTCTTCAGATTTATATCCCTCTTTTATTTTGTATAATTCAAGAGGGTATACACTCCTCTTCCTATATTGTCCACAATACATTAGATTGGGCTGAAAGAGTGAACTGGCCCAAAGTTACCCAACCACCTTCTGTGATTAATGGAAGAACAGAATGTCTCTTTTTCTAATCCAGTTCTTTAACCACTAAACCAAACTGGCACTTGTTTCTGATATGATATGATGGCAGTTCAGAAACTTTATCCAACTCCCAAAATGGGAAATGGCTACAATTCCACAATGGTCAGTGTAACACTCAAGATCCACACATCTAATATGGACCATGATGCACAGATGTTGTCTATCACCAGTGCCAGTCAATCACCAGTGCCGGCCAATGTATAACATAGAGTCATAAAAAATATGAAACATGGCTAAACTCTCAGGACAAAATCTTTCAGCTGGCTTTCACTTACAACACATGAAAGGAAATGATATCAAATAAATGGATGTTTTTTGATGATAAATTATAATGGTGTATTCAAATATTTGCTCATATCTTAAGTTACTGGATTTTCGTTTGTTAAATCTGCTGAAAGCTGTGAAATGATGATGACAGATTACTCACACAGTGGAGCATCTTGAGGCTCATAAGCATATAGACGGTTGGAATATCTTCCAGTAATATCTGCTCTAATAGTCAGCGAAGGATCTAGAGACAAGGAAAGATGGAAACAGTCTATAAAACTAGCCGTTCATATTTTTCTTATCATCAACATCTGAAGTACAAATTCATAATTAGAGCTATATTATGAACTTGTGTATGCTGAAGAATATGGTGTCAAAACATTCAGATGATACCAGGTTGGAGAAATACTTTGCAAATGATAATCCCTGTCTCTGATTCTTCTTTCTAGTTTTTCTACATTCATACTAAATAGTGAACAAATTTTGTTTGCATAATAAATATTTGTTAAGACTATTTTTATTAGCTAGATACCAGTTTTTCAAGTAAATATTTTCAACTTCTAAAGACTCACCTACAAACACAATTCTGGGCACATATTGACCATCTGGTGCAAGATGTTTATCTGAAGTTTCATACTAGAATTAGGGGAAAAAAAGATGTTGATATTCCTCTCATTTAAGCTGAAATCCCTGTGTCTGTTTCTCATTCCAACCAAAAATACCTCTCTTCAATATAGTTAAAGATTTGGTAGAGAACGACAAGGTACAACTTTTGCAATGTTGCACAAAATTCACAGAATTATAATTTCAGGATATTCAAGATAGAACAGTTCAGATCAACTTGATGCTGTGGATAAATCTCCATATTCTTCAACCAACTTCAGCTACCAGGTTCCACCACAAAACCGCGTTCGACTAAAGTGCGCTTGACGAAACCGCGTAGCTGACGTCATCACAGCGCGACGAAAAAAGCATGCTGTGAACGCTAAAGCTAAAATTAACCCCTAAACCTAACCCCCCTAAACCTAATCCTAATCCTAAACCTAACCCTAATCCTTAACCTAACCCTAAACCTAACCCTTAACCTAACGCTAACCCTTAACCTAACCCTAAACCTAACCCTAACACTTAACCTAACCCTAAACTTAACCCTAGACCTAACCCTTACCTTAACGTGAATCGGCTTGCTTTCAAAGCGCTATTTAAAGCTCCCTTTTTTCTCCGCGGTCGCTGTTGTCGCCCTGCTGATGACGTCAGCGACGCGGTTTAATCGGGCGTGCTTTAGTGGAGCGCGGTTTTGTCGTGCCACGCAGCTACCATAATCCTCCAGCCAATATAACCAACAATAGCAATTGAAGAAAGTTGAGACTGTCACATCATGTGTTGATCATATTTTCCTATAAGTATTCATGTAAGCAACAATATTACTGAAAATGCATATTGTGAATTACTGTAAGACTGTCATTTATTAATATAATTTTTGAACTGAATTTTTAACTCAGAAAATCAAGGTAAATTATGTGCTTGCAAATTTTAATAAAATAATAGCTTCCATTTTCTCAAATTATTTGCAGCTCATTTTCATTTTGGTAAAATGCCTTGTGCAAAATTATATCCAGATATAATTCAAAAATCACCTGAAAACTTACAATAATATTAAGAAGAACAAAGCTTGATGCTAATTTCTGTATTTCTTTGTGTTCAGCAAATACCTTCTTCAGTGCTAAAACAGAGCAAGAATTATAAACGCTATTTTTAAATATATATATAGAAAAAATGTTATATCAATTGATAGTACAAATCAGGCCAAACTTGTAAACTATATTAACATCTGGTGTATCTCAATATAAAATGAAAAAATAATACTACAGAGGAGAACCAATTTTGTAGTGGTTTAGACATCAGGTTATAAATTGGAAGACTATGAGTTCTAGATTTGCATTAGGCACAGCCTCTAGCTGGATCGCCCTGGGCCAATCACTCATTCTCAGCCCTAGGAAGAAGGCAATGGCAAACCACTTCTGAAATATTACAAAGAAAACTGCAGGGACAAATTCAGTCAAAAACTGACTCAAAATCACACACTTATGATACTATAAAAATGAAGCATAAAAATGATTTAAAGAAAAATACTTTTCTATATCACAATAATTGTGTTTGGATTTTAAAATTTGAATTTCTTTTCTTTTATATATACATATGAATAGGATTAACATTGTTCTTTATAAATCATAACACTTCATTTCTAATTACCATGGCTGCTACAAAACCTTTTATTCAAATTAGTTATGTTTTTCATCTTTTAATTACTAAGTTAAAACAGTTTGGTTTTTCAGGTGATTTACAAAAAACCTTCTGATGCAAGGAAGTAATTAATTTTGCTAGATTGGATGCACTTTTCATTTGTTAGAAACTACAGTACCTTGACTATGAGGGCACTCTTCTAAGTGGTGGATGATCATTATTGGCTTGTTGCTGTAAAAGAAAAAGTGGTCCATGATACAACTTCAGTTAGCTAAATTCTCTAAATTAAGCATGTCCCATTGTATTGGCCTACAATTTCCATCAGTGTAGTTGGCATAGCCAATGAATTATGTTGATGGTGGAAATGAGAATTAGAATGTGTCTTTGAAGGGATCTGTGCTTTTTATCAAACATAGTGCTGAAATATTATTTTTCCTAAATTTATTCTCCTGCAAAAGATATTTCTGCATTTCTATCTCATTCCTATAGTGCTTTAGGACTTCTTTAGCATTTCTTTTGTGGTTTTGTGAGATGACTTTACTGTTTAAATAAAAAGCGGTAAGTTCTATAGTGCTGTTTAATCACTTTTGTCTCTTACTGTGAAGTCTATTTCCTGTTGCTTTGTGATCCATAGAAGCTCTACAAGAGGAATTTCCTCATGATGTAATTTTCTTGGATTTAACTGAAATATAGAAATCCAGGAAAGCTGAAAACTGCTGTAATGGTGATTATATTGTAAAATAAAGGAAGAAAGAAAGAAAGGTTAGGGCAAGATCATATGGCAACCTACCCATAAGAATTTCCCTAAATTGTTCTTATCTTTCCAGGTGGAATAAAATGAAATTAAATTCTTTTCCATAAGATTGAAAAAGAGTAAACAAGGAAAGAGACAGTGATATAATGGAAATGTGCAGTATCATTTGTTGAAATATGCTAAAATAAATTGAAATATTTTATCAATGTCTCAGAAGTCAAATTATTTTTCATAAATCAATGAGTAAGACTTGCAGAAGAGATTAATTTACCTTGTTCTGGATTTAAAAAGAGCTTCTTCATAAGTCTGAGTCCAGATTAATTGATCACCCCAGCCTGAAGATAAATGACAAATGGAATTTAGTTTAAGTATGTCATTGTTGAAGAAGTCATAAATATATAACTTCATTCAAATCAGAACAAACATTGTAGTAGATCTATTACACAATACACTTCTTAATCCAAGCATTTCCCCATGTTTTAGGGAACTATATTTTATGATATGGATTAACAGCAAGCATTTATTTGAATTCAGTTCTTAATGTGAATTCAAAAGCTCATAAGCATGGAGTGAATTATTAGCTTCTAATAATTATTATCTGTAAAGGCTGTTAATCCCCCTCTTCATACAGATTATATAATTAATACTTGAATTCATTTTTTAAAGGATACTGTTTGTGCAGTATCTACTTTTCTTTGGCATTCTGGGAATTGACACATCTTAAAGTTGTCAAGATTGGCAAACGCTAACCTTGGATCACATGCTCCCGTTCCTACCAGTTCTAGCCAATAGCAAATTATTCAATTAATTCAATTAATTATTAAACTTAATGGAACTTACTTTCAAGTAGATATGTATAAATAGCTATATACTCCTCAGATCATATTCCATTAGTCATTAGATCCTTGGAATTGCTTTATTTCTATTTTACATTGTCCACACTGAGACATAAGATTCTTTCCATGTTGTAGATCAGTGTTTCTCAACTTCAGCAACTTTAAGATATGTAGGCTAGGCAATTCTGGGAACTGAAGTCTACATATTTTAAAGTTGCCAAGGTTGAAAAACAATATTGTAAGCTGTCTATCCCCTGGTCTAACATTTGTTAGGCATGTTGGATTTTTAAAAAATGATTTTAAATTACATAATATTCTGTCTGTTGAAATCTATTTGAAGGAAAATAATTGTGATAAATAATTTTAGAAATCACTTCTTAAAAATAAGCAGGCATGATTAACAACTGAGATGATTGGTATAAAATATACAGCTTTACCTCTTGAAAGAGTCTGTGGAAGTTTAGGATGGGTCTCTTTGTGTTCTTTTGGGTCTTTTCTTCCATCTTTAGTAGTAGTTTCTTTAGCCAGGGTATTCAAGACAGCAAGAACCAAAATCAGGATGTTGACTATGTTTTTTTGCATTGTTAAAGCTAAGGAGCAAAACAAAACAAAAATACTAGTCTGGGTATACTTGAAAAGCAATGCTACAAGAAAAGAACAATAGTAATAAAACATAAGAAAGAAAACAACAATAGTAACAAAACATAAGAAAGAAAAGATTTAAATCTCATGCACTGGTATATAATTTCTCTATTTAGAGAGGAACTGACTACCCAGGCAAATTTACAACAGAAGTCTATGTGTATTTCCCTGGAGCTGAACACTGCTGAACTTAAATGAGCTTCCTTCCTTCCTTGTACCTATTGGGAAATAGAATTTGAAAGCTTCAAAAGAATACTCACAACTAGTGAGTTGTACACTTTAACTACAGATTTGATTCATGCATCACCCTAAACTGAGATTCATTCTAAGATTAAGTTTTCTTAACCATTTATTAAATGTTGAGTTCACTAGTTATACTAAGCTAACAGCAAAATGCATTGTGGCTTTGTATGATATATACTAAGAGTTGCAAAAATCCGAATAATCATTGGATAGTAGCCACAAAGTACAGAAAAAACTAGATATTTACAGTCTAGAGAATTGTATTTTGACATTACCACTTGAAATCTCTGTAGTAAAGCTTATATACACTTAAAACAAGAATGTAAAAGTCAGGATTTTTTAAAATTCAATGTATTTCTAGTGTAGAATCCACAATAATATTCATTACAAGCTTTACAGGAACAAGTCATGTACAGTGAATGAAAATCCTTTTGAAATCTAAGTATCTGAAATATTGCCTTAGATCTAGCCACGATCACATCTAGGTCCAATTCAGTAACTTGTAACTAGATTTAATTAAAATACAGAACTGACTCCAGATATGTTAGGATCGTTGTTATTTTTTTAGGAGACAACATTGCTACAAATAGTCGTATTTAACTTTGAATAAGCAAGTCTTGGACTAAACTCTTAATGACATAACTATAGTATAATAGCGCATATATCAGAAAAATCAAAATGGGGATGGTTGGAAGGAGGAATAAGGTAAATGTAGGATGCCAAGCTCTTGTATCTAATTTTTGAACCTATGGGAGAATTAAAAATAGACAGTGTATGTGAGTGTGTGTGCACACGTGTCTATCTATCTATGTCTACCTGAGTGTTTTTAGGGTATGCTACCATGACATTTTTATAAGGCAGTCCCATCATGAATAGCCAGCATGGTCTATGGTTAGGCTGAATGGATAGTGGGAGTTTGGAGAGTGAATGATTGATGGTAATAGTGAGAAAAGCACAAATAGAAAGAAAATGGGGGGAAATTGTATAGAGAAAAATCCTCTTTTTCTCCAAGCTTTCTAAGAAAGATAAAAAGATATAAAACTTCAATTTTGTGCAACACAGAAGTCATTCCCTTTCAAAAACAAGTCGAGCCTTAAAAGAAAGTAAATGGAGTTGTCTTTGCCAAACAGGAAATCAAAACACAGTAAAGGAAGGACTTTGGCATATTACAAGGAGAAAGCAAATAACTGAAAATAATGTATCTTGGCTGTAGAAATATGTTGTGTACTTGCAAAGTTATTTAAAATGGATTTTCCCCCCTGTCAAAATGAATATCAGGATTATCTAAATATCATCATCTCTGCAGTACTTGTTACCATTGCTGATTAATAAGTAACTTGATTCACAAGAATAAATGAATTTTAATAGGCCCTTTGCTACGCAAGCAGCAATAACCTTACCTTTCCTGCTCTCTTGCTTCTTAGAGTAACAGCTGAAGAGCTTTCAATTTCAATGTGAACAAAAAAGGTGTGGAATGCCTATTTATGTACCTGGGTGCACCTGATCCCACCCACAAGGCTGGTATTTGAATCCTGCTTTTATAAGAAAAAGTTAAAAAGTAGAAAAGTATTAGCAAGGAATTTTTCAAACAATGTTGTGTCATTTTGTCCTTCGGTTTATTAAACAATTATTATAGAAAACTAGAATGTTGAGTTTATGTGAGTTGTTCAACAAACATACTTGGCCCCAGGCCAAATCTAGTACAGTAAGTGTAAATGGAGACTTCCAATTTGACCAAAGGCTGATTTGTCCATATCTGATTGGAGCAGCCTTTTTGCCAAGACAAAGGCCTATATATTTTTTGAAAATATGAAGCTGATTATTTGATTACCTTTCAGGTACAAACCAGAATGGACCTTAATATCTGTATGTTATTGCCTGGAATAAGGCTGTTCCATAACTAGAAAGCCAGTTTAGTGTAGTGATTAAGTGCTGGCCTAGTAACTAGGAAACTGTGAGGAAAAGCCTGCCTTAGGAATGAAAGCTAGCTGAGTGACCTTGAGCCAGCACATTTAAAAATTATTCTCTCTCAGCCTCATTTCACAGGGTTATTGCTTCTGGGAAAAGAGTAGGCCAGAGTATTAAGTATGTTCACTTTAAAAAGTAAGATAAAAAATTAATAATAATTATAACTAACATATACCAAACTAAATGTTCTAGGTTAAGAAAAATTGTGAAAAATCATTGCATTTTCGCTATTACAAGCATACAAACTATCTATGGAAAAGTTGCATATTCGCTCTAATATACGGTTTGCTTCCATATGTCTTTGTTCCTTTGTTCCTTTTGTACAATACCACTACAAAACAGTCACATTGGTATTTCATTATGGTAAACCTCTGCGGCGATTTTTTCCTAGCAAGCTTTTTTGATCATGTTAGGATCACCACTATTCTTTTGCCAGTCTATTTACTTTTCATTGCAACTAATTTGATTAGTGCTTAATCAGTTTTCCCTTTAGTTGTACATTTGCCATTGTGTGTTTTAGATCCATGTCCCTCCTAGTTGTACAAAGGCCTCCAGTGAGGGAGCATATGGTTGGATACATACAGTGGTGAACTTGAAAATGTATGAACTTCAATTCCCACAATTCTCCAGCCAGCTTTGTTCCACTACTGCTGGGAGGTTTGTTGAGAAAATGATCACCTTATAGTTCCAAAAGAAAATGATTATTTCAGCCCTTTTCAATTTGGACTAGGCCATGTCATAGCCCTGAGACAATATTGATCTCATTTGACATTCGCTAGGCTCTGTATGACTGTAGTACATCCATTCATACGCTCCTTAATTTTTTAGCAATACCTTCATGACCTCCTGAGCTGGCTCAGGGGTTTGGAAGTGGGAGACTTGTGATTCTTTCCCTTTTTCCTGTCCAGTTCCAGATGTTCTTAATAGAAATCAAGCCTAAGGCTTTGTGGGGGTGCTACTTTACTCTTTACTTACTCCTGTTGTATATGATGAAGCTGCTATCATCTGTCAATATCAGCTAAAAAATCCCCCACTCCTGTATCTTTGTCCTGAGATGATCAAATTATGCCATTAAGTTTCCCCCTCCCTACATTTCCTGGAGACAAGAGGCAATACCATAACTTGATCCCTCACTATAAGGTGGTTTTATGAATGGCGCTAGTTGATAAAATATATAAAAACTAAACCAAAGGTAAATTGTCACCCAGTTTGATATAAAAAGCAGCCTCTCAGCTAAACTGTGTTAAATTGTTATACAACATGCTAAATTGTACTGAACTTAAACATGGGGTACTGAACACAATATTCTGAAATGTCACAGCACAACCAATCAGCTAGCTAACCAACCAACCAACCAACCAACCAAGTTTGTGATTTTATTTATTTGTATATCACCTTTATTATTTTTATAAATAACTCAAGGCAACAAACATATCCAACAAATTTTCCTCTTTTTATTTTCTCCACAACAACAATACTGTGGGGTGGCGTGGGATGTGAGAAAATGACTGATCCAAAGTCGTCCAGCTGTCTGTGACAGGATTTTAAAGTATGGTATCTTGCTTTATAGCCTGGTGCCTTAATTACCAGATCATTGACTCTCATATTCAAATGTATAGAGTGGAATAGAATAAGTAAAGTGTTCTATATATGTACATCACTAGACCATTTTGGAATTTATTTTGCATATTTATATAGATTTTAAACTATGTATAACTATATAGACCTATATAAATATAGATTTTAAACTGTTAAAATAAGTTCCTGTTTATTGGATAGCTATGCCTCTTTTCAGGAAAAAAACACTGAGTTATAAGATATGTGGTATTCAAAATGCAGCATTAATTCATATGGTATGATTATATTTAGTTGTTCCTTTTTCAACAGAAACCAGTCCATGTAATACATTTCATTCTGGAAGAATAAATAGTTTTTGTAGATGCTCATGCTGTTCTGAATGCCAATTGTTTGGAATTAGCAGGAAAACAATGTAATAGATATTCATAATGAATGAATGATGGTTAAATATTAATAAAATCAAGATTATTTATTTGTGTGCATACTAATTTCAAAAAGATAAAAACACAAAGTCAAATAATTTGTATTAGAAATACGTTTGACATCAATATACTTCATTTTACTTGACAGTTTCATCTTCTTTTCCTCACAGTGTGGTATTAGCAGTATGCTAATGGCACTATATTCTGCACTGCTGACATAGCCATATACTATGAATGTGATGAAAGATGGAGTTGGAAATTACATTGGATAGTTGTGAGACAGTCTTTGTCCAATCATGCTGAAGAATAATACATACATACATACATACATACATACATACATACATACATACATACATACATACATTAAGAGAAAACCAAATTAGAAGTTTGGAGAGCCAAGGTTTTTCAGCTCCTTGTTGCATAGGGTATGTTTATGACCACAGAAGATTTGCACATAGGATCTATTAAGATGAAGCTACTGGAATCAAGAAGTCTGGAACTAGGACAATGGTTCTGATCCAAACTTTTCTTCTTTAGTCAATGAATGTAGATGTTCATGAATTCCATGTAGCAACCTGTTTTAGTCTTGAAATTCAGAACTGAGGCCATCTAAGGGCACAGCTGATATATTCCTTCTATTTAATATAACTTTAATAATTCTAGTTAAAGGTTAAGGTTAATTTGATCAATATTCCCAAACAATTAAACATTTTTCATATTTATTTTATCCACTCTAGAAATTTCACTTGATGATGTGTACGTAATTTCAATAGTAAATCCTGTTGTGTTTAGCTCTGACGATGCATTAGTTTTGCTGTACTATCACTGTATGACCTAGCCCTAAAAATAAATAATGACACATACATTATTTATTAAGCCTAGTCATCTTTCTGAGTTTTGCTAGATAGCTCTCATCTCCTGTGATATCTAAGATTGTCCTATATTGTATTTTAATATAGGCATGCATTTTCTTTCAAGATAAATGATTTTTGTAAGGTGGGAATTTAAACTTTCTCAAGATTTGGACCTAGTTGTGAGTTTGCCTTTTGTTCTGAAAATGTGGATTGCAGAATTTTAATATATTCCCTACAATTACAACATTTTCTGTTTTTCTTCAGTTATCAGCACAATTTGATTATTCTTCAAAGTTTCCATATCGTGAATTCTGTTATGGGCAGCAAGTTTTGATGTTCTGAGAGACCGTCTCCTGCCGATTACCTCTCTCAGACCAATTAGATGGCACAAGTTGGGTCTCCTCCGGATTCCATCTGCCAGCCAATGTTGGCTGGCGACTCCCCGGGGGAGGGCCTTCTTTGTTGCAGCTCTGG